CTCCTCCTTTTGGCGCCGCCCTGGGGGGTCCCCGAGTCCGGAGGGACCCCCCGGGCGAGCGGGCTTGCGCGCCCACGGCCGCGCGGGCGCACCCGCCCGCGCGCGCGCCGGGCCCTCGCGGCTGCCCGCCGCCGCCGGGCCCGCGCGGGGGCCGTAGTGGGCCGCCGCCGCCCCGCCTCCTCCTTCCGCCTCCCCCGCCGCCCCACCCCCGCCGCCCCCGCGGCGCCTCTTCCCACCGCCCAGCACCCGCCTCCTCCCCAGCCGCCGCCCCCACCTCGGGGCGCCAGTTGGCGGCCGGGGCGCCGCGTGGCGACTGGGGCGCCAGCGCCGCCGCTCCCGGCAGCCGCCGCCACCTCCTCCGCCGCCTCCTCCTCCTCCTCCCCTTCCTCCTCCTCTCGCCTCAGCCTGGCCGCCCCCGCCGCCCCCGCCGCCCCCGCCGCCGCCGCCGCCCTCGCCTCTCTCTCTTTCTCCTCCGCCTCCCCGGCCTCTTTAGGCCTCAGCGCAGGCCCGCCGCCTGGCGCAGCTGCCGCGCCAGGCGGCGCTGTACTGCGCAGCTGATCGCGCAGTAAGCGCGCGCGAGCTCAGCCTGCTGTTCGTCCTCTGGGAGCTCGCGCACGTGGCTCAGCAGCCACTGACGCGCCTCTGCGCCGAGCCGGCCTGCAGTCTCCACGGCGAAGGCGGTCAGCCGTTCGCCGGGATAGCGCTCGTGCTTTTCCCGCTCCGCACGGCGCGAAGCCTCTCCGGGCCTCCTGGCGGCGACGCGAACGGCGGCTTCGTCCCCCGCCGCAGGGTGGCGCACGGTGACGTCCACCCACCTCCGGCCATCGACGTCCTCGTATTGGACATCGAGGATCGCCCGCTCGAAGACGGCGGGGCCGGCGCCCTCGGCCGCGCGCCGCGGCCGGAAGCGGTCCCAGGTGGGCACGCGCTGTTCGTACAGCGGGCGGTCGTGTGTCCACCGCGCCGCCAACGCGCCCACCGCCTTGGCCAAGCCGCCGTCGCGCCGCACAATGCCTCCCCCGTGCTGGCAGGTGGCCGCGTGGTAGCCATTTTCGTCGAGGGGCGCCTGGCAGCGGGCCCCAGCGCCGGACTCGTTGCAGCACGTCGCAGTGGCCCGCGCGAGCTCGTCGCTGGAGCACTCTGGTCGCGGCAGCAAAAGGCGGGAGCGGGTCCCCGTGGCCCACTCCACGTCTTCCAGCGCACACGCTGCCTCCGTGGGGTACTGCAGGTACGCCCCGGACCCCGGCCCGCCGGCGGACTGAAGGACAGCCTGATTGCGTAGGCACACTTGCTGCCGGGCGGCAGCCACGTTTGTCTTGTGCACCGTCGCAACCATCGTCTTCTGCCTCATCGGCCAGCCAAGCGCCGCGGCGAGCGGGGCGGCGGGGGAGGGTTCCGCGCCCTGGCGCGCCAGTTCTGCGCGCGCCTCCGCCAGTTTCGCTGCGTTCCGGGGGAGGGCGTCCAGCGCGTCCGCGAGCGAAGCGGCGCCCAGGTCGCGGCGCACCTCGTCAGCAGCGTGCGTCCAGGCGGCCCAGAAGGCCGCAGCGCGCCTCGTGGTCGCCCACTGGGCCCCCTCGCCGCCGAGCTTGCGCGGTAGGCCCAGCAGCTCGCAGGCCTCGGGTCCCAGAGGGCGGTCCAGCAGCTGCTCCCAGCAAGCCCTCAGCGCCGCGTCGTAGGCGAAGGCCTCGCCGGGCGTCGCCAGCGCAAGCTGGAGGTAGTGTTGGCTGGCGTTGCCCGCGTAGGTCGTCAAGAGCGCCGCCCTCGCCTGCTTGGAGAGGCTCTCCCGGAGCTCCTGGAGGCGAGCGAAGAGCTGCTGCAGGCGCGTCGTTGCCTTGTCTAGCCCGCACCCCTCCCCGCCGAGGGCAAGCGCCGCGTCGTCGGCGTCCCCGGGCGCCCGAAGCTTCGTGCCGAGCACCGGCAGCACGGGCACAAAGTGGCCCGCCAGCTCGCGCGGGACAGCCTGCGCCCCGGCCGGTGACCAGACCTGTGTTTTCCGAGCGTTGAGTTCGAGCCCGGGCGGAGCAAGCACCCTGTTCAGGGCAGCCAGCGTGAGCACCCCCAGGTCCGCCCTCAGCACGAGGTAGGTGTCGTCCAGGTAGGAGAGAAGCCTGGCGCGTGGGTCCTGCTGCTGTAGCTCGCCCAGGAGCTGCTCCAAGGCTTGCCGCTGGCCGACGGCGAAGCCGGCGGGGGACAGCGGGTCCCCCTGGTCGAACCCCCGGCGGCTCCGTACAGTCTCGAACCGGCCGGTGGCCCCCCGCCAGTAGTGCTCGGCCGGCTCCGCGTACCACGCCCGCAACACCTCGGCCACCTCGGGGACCGCCACCGCCATCGCCTGGAAAGCGGGGCCCCGCCTCATTCTTTGAAACGCCGCCTTCACGTCCACCTTGATAAACAAGGCGTCTGGCCGCGTCTCCGCCAGGGCTTGCAGGTGCTTCACCAGCAGGGTCGCTCCGCCCTTCCGCCCAACCCCGTACTGGTGCTCGCCCGCCGCGTCGGTAAGCTCAGCCTTCCGCGCTCTGGCCAGCGCCCGCAGTCCGAGGCGGCGTAGCGTTGCGCTCACCAGGAGAGGTCGAACCTCGCCGCCCCCCTTGTCGAGGGCCACGAGCTCGCCAGACCGGAGAGCCCGGAGAACATCTGGCGGGAGCTCGCCGAAGGCGACCCGCGCGGCCGCCCGGGCGAGCAGGCGTCGAGTCTCTCCGCTGTCGGCGCCGGCGGCAAGGTGCTCCAGCCGCGTTCCAAGCAGGCCTGGCGCTGTAAGCCGGGGAGGGCGTCGCAGCAGCTTGCGCACCTCGTCCTCCACCTGCTCCCGGAGCTCCAGGCTGGGCGGCGCGCGCGGTAGGGGTGGCGGCGGCGGCGGCTGCGGCTGCGCCTCTGCGGGGGCGCGCTCGTCCGGCGGGAAACTCGCGCGCAGCTGGTCTAGCGTCGCGTCCGTGCGCGGCGCAAGCTCGGCCCCGACTGCGGCGGCCAGGGCGCGGCTCTCTTCGCCAGCAGCAGCCAGCGTGTGCACGCGCCTCCCCCTCTGCTTGGCGGTTGTACGTCTTGCAGGCGCCCGGGCCGCCAGGCTGCCCCCCGTAGCAGAAGCCCACAGAGGCACCCACTGACCTCCCCACCACAAGGCAAGCCGCTCTTCCAGTAGTTCTGCACACGTTGGGCCGCTGCCGCTCGGCCGGGCGAGGAGCAACATGTCAAACAACAAGAACAACTTCCACTCTGCGGAAGCCTCTCCCTGGCGGCACGCTTCTTCCAGCACTTCCAAAGCCTTGTGGCGGGCGTGAGCCACTGCCCCGCGGAACCTGTCGGGCACCTGCACGAAAGTGGACACTCCTGTTCTGAGAGCGGCCTCCCAGGCCAAGTTCTGCCACCACTCGCGCCCTGGCAGCACCTGTTCCTCCCAAGTTGGGTGTTTAACTGGTATCCCGCCGTGGTCAGGGTCGAGCCCTCCCTGGGCCACCTGGCCAGGATGCCCTCCGCCAGCGTCGCGGTCGGCAGCTGCGGTGGCCAGCGCGGTCCGCGCCTCCTGGGCGTGCACGGCCTCCGCGCGACCGATTGGGCGGATCTCGTCCTCTGAGCCCACTTTGCCAGCCATGCACCCTATGCACATCCAGCTGTATCGCTGCCGGCTCCCCCACGAGCATAGGCGCATCTCCCGCGACGCGAACGGGACAGCGCACGCTTTGCATGCTGCTGGGCGTTTGGACACCGGCTGCAGGTCCAGCGCCCACTCTCCAGCGGCGCGTCGCCGCTGCCCTCTTCCTCCTGCTGCTGCTGCTGCCGCTGCTGCCCCCTGCTCTCCCTCTCCGGCGCCGGCAGAAGGCCCAGGCGGGGCAGCAGGCCCTGGCCTGGGTGCCGCCTCGGCGCCCAGCTCGACGTCGTCGTCCTCTCCCTCCTCCATCTGCCCCTCCTCTGTCTCCACCTCTGACTCCTCTACCGGTGGGGGGAGGTGGGAGACGGGCTGGGTAGCCTCCCCCTCCCCCCCAAGCAGTGGCGCGGGGAGGCGGGCTGGTCAGCCTCCCCGCAGTCGCCGGTGGGGGGAGGTGGGAGACGGGCTGGGTAGCCTCCCCCTCCCCCCCGAGCAGTGGCGCGGGGAGGCGGGCTGGTTAGCCTCCCCGCAGGCTGCGGCCACGCCGATGGCACGGCGCGCGGCACGGCCGAGGGCAGGAGGGGCCCCGCGCCCGCGCTTGCCTCCTCCTCCTCCTCCTCCTCCTCCTCCTCCTTTTCCTTCTCCTCCTCCTCCTCCCTTCTCCCTCCTCCCTCCTCCCCCCTCCCCCCTCCCGCCTCCCTTCAAGCAGTGGCGAAGCGTCCTGGCGTGCTTATAGGCCTACCGAACAATGTGTTCAGAACCTTTTGTGGTTTCCACGAAGTGTTATTAGAACAGTTCTGGTCGAAACTGTTTTGTTTTTACACATCGGGTCAATGTTCTTGGAAACATTGTTTTTGTTATTGGTACATTTTTGGGGTTCTAAGAACATGTCGTGGTAGGCCCATAGCAATGCTGGGACAGTCTGTCCCTGCTCAATCCCGCCTCCCCCAAACAGCTGAGCCGCGGCCAGGGAGCGCAGATTGCAGCGTATAGCTCCCTGGCGCGGCACTCTTGAACTTCAAATTCTAGCTCGGTTTCCCGTCTGGTTTTCCTTCCAGGGTTGTCCTGAGGGTCTTCCAGATAGGTCATATGCGGGCGCACGTTGACCGTCACGCCACCGTTGCACCACCACTACAGTCAACGCGTCTAGTAAGGACGCGCGCCTTCATCTAGGATACCCTTGCGTCCTTGCCTCTGTGGCCCGTCCTTTGCCGTTTTCACTGGTCGCCGCCGCCCAAAAAGTCCCAACTTCAGCCTCCAAGGGTCTTGCTTCCTTACCACGCGTCCTTAATATACGTTTTGAATGTACCTCCCTCCTCCCAGAGGGGCAGGGGAGAGGCTTGGGGGAGCCAGGGTGCCTGGAGCGGCCCAGGTGGTGACCTCGTCGTGGGATTGCACGGCGAAGGTCTGGTCTGCCGACTCCGGGGAGTGCCTGCGCACGCTGCAGGGCCATCAGGTCTGGGTGACCTCCGCCTCCTTCTCGCCAGGCGGTGAACGGGTGGTGACCACGTCGCGGGATGGCACGGTGAAGATCTGGTCCGCTGGTTCCGGGGAGTGTTTGCTGACACTCCGAGATCGGGGCAACGGACGCTTCGACATGTTGCATGCGGGGTTCTCGCCGGACGGGCAGCAGGTGTTGACCTCCTCGAAGGACGGCACGGCAAAGGTCTGGTCTGCTGCCTCAGGGGAGTGCCTGCGCACACTGGAGGGCCACCAGGATTGGGTGTTCTATGCCGCATTCTCGCCAGACGGGCAGAAGGTGTCGACCGCTTCGCGGGATGGCACAGCGAAGATCTGGTCCGCTGGTTCCGGGGAGTGCCTGTTGACGCTCGAGGGCCATCGGAACGACGTGAATTCCGCCGTGTTCTCGCCGGACGGCGGGCAAAAGGTACTTACCGCCTCGAAGGACCGCACGGCGAAGATCTGGTCCGCTGCCTCCACGGAGTGCCTTGTATCTTTGGAGGGCCACGAGGATGAGTTGAACTCTGGCGTGTTCTCGCCGGACGGACATGAAGTGCTGACCGCTTCGGACGATGGCACCGCCAAGATCTGGTCCGCCAGCTCAGGGAAGTGCCTGCTGACGCTGGATTGCCTATTTGATGTGTCGTTTGCCTCCTTCTCGCCGCTGTGAGGCCCTCTCCGCTGATAATTCGGCCTGTTATGTATGTTTCTCGTTGTGTATCGTACATATACATATACATACATACATGCATACATACATACAGACATACAGACATTCAGACCTACAGGCCTACAGATAGACGTATATATATATATATATATATACATACATATTTACATACATACAGTCATACGTACATACGTGCATGCATGCATGTATACATACATACATAAAAAACGGTGCATTCCCTTGAGTATAAGTTATATAGTGTATATTTATATATAGATGTATAGATTGATACAGGTCGTGATTTTCTTCTACGCAAAAAACCTGGCGATGTGCATATGTGTACATATGTATACCAAGCATTACCCAGCAGTGCTTGCCCTAGGAGTTCTCTCACCTGTGCCCTGCAGTAGTGTATCGGATTGGTTTTCCGAGGTTTCGCCATGCTGCCGCCCGCGGGCGCTCGCGGGCGTCTCGTGGGTGCACCATGCGCTGGGCGGCGCTGTTGAGCTTTCGTCTAGTGTCGCCGCCCGTGGGCCCCTCGTGGGCGCCCCGTGCGCTGGGCGGCTCTGCCGAGGCTTCGCCCGCTGCCCGCCCCTGGCCTTCGTCAGCGCCTCGTGTGCGCCTGGTGCGCTGACTGCCGCTTCCGCTTCTGCGGCGGATGGCCGCCCGGCGCCCGTGGGGGCCTCGTTGGGGCCCCGTGGGCGGCCGCACAGCCTGCACCACGGAGGGTGCGCCACACAGGCTGCGCCACACGGTGTGCACCACATCGCTCGCACGACGCAGCTCGAACCGCACAACTTCCGCCACACAGCTGTCACCACACCGCTTGCACCACACGCGTTGCATCACACAGCTCACCGAAGCTGTCCGCCGGGCGTCCTCGCTCGAAGTCGAGCCGTGCCTCGTGCGCCGAATCGCCAGGCCGCTCCAGCGGCGCGGCTGCTGTCCGCGCGGAAGCAACAAATCCGGAATTCGCGGTCAGACGACTCTGGCCGAGACACGACTCGGACAAGGAGACGGAGGCGGAGGACGGGGAGAAGGAGGAAGAGGAACGAGGGGGAAGAAAAACAACGCGGCGAGCAGACGCCAACATGCAGGAGGAGAGGAAGGGCTGCAGAGGCACAGCTCACATATGCACATTGGAGTAAATCATCGTTTATGGCCCAAGCTGGCAAGCGTATATTCATGTGTGTGTACATATATATATATATATATAATAGGGAGGGGGTCCCGGGGGCCCTGGAGTGCACTGATTTGTATTCTGGCCGTTTTGGACCCAGCAGGGGTGCCAGAACGCGTCAAAGGAGGGGAAGGGGGGCGACGAGAGGGCTCGAGAGACGTCCAAGAGGGCGCCGAGCTGGCCCAAGAGCGCTCCAAGAGAGCCCATCACCGCACAAGAGCGTTTCAAAATTGGTCCAACATGGCTTGAAGACAGCCCAAGAGGGCTTCAAGACGGCCAAGATGCCCCCAAAAAGTCATCCAAAGAGGGCGCCACAACGGCGCAATAGAGTCCCAAGACGGCCCAAGAGTGCCCCAAGACGGCCCAAGAGGCGCCCACGATGGCCCAAGAGGGCCTCAAGACGGCCCCAAGAGGGGCCCAAGAGAGGGAACACGACCCGACAATTCGAGCCTTCCGCCCCAAGAGGCCACTAGGAGGCCCCAAGAGGCCCCCCAGAGGCCTCCTAGAGGCCCCATGAGGCCCCAAAGAGACCCAGTAAGACACCCCAAGAGAACCCCAAACGACCCCCAAGAGGCCTCCAAAACTGCCTTCAAGAGGCTTCCAAAACTGCTTCCAAAACATGGCATAGCATTGCATTGCATTGCATTGCAAAGCCCAGCATGCCTTGTCTGTGCATACCATGTAACGCGGTAGCATCGCCCTTCCGATCAAACATAGCATGATACGGCTCAGTGTATCATCCCATATATGGTCATAAGATTTCACGGCACAGCATGACATCGCATGTAATGCGCACTATAGAGTATATCATGGTAGTGCAGTGCATACTGCATTGTGACACTGCGCTTTATAGCGTAGCATGATGTATCATGGCATTCCCTAGTAGAGTGCAACATGGCGCTGTAGCGCTGCATTTTCCCTGGCCCATAGCTTGGCGACAAATCACTGGTCAACCAGCCGATAATAGTGGAGGAGGAGGAATGAGGAAGGGGCAGGAGGGAACAGGGAACGTTGACCACATGATTCATGACCGCCTTGTTGCTCTCAATGCGGTCAGCACTCGAGCAACTAGAACCTATGCGCTCGCCAAGCGCGCGCCTGGTTCTAGTGTGTATATATATATATATAGATGTATAGCTATACATGCGGCATGTGCGTGCCCAGGCTCTTACAAACACGTGTGCAGGATGTGTGCGTGTGTGGAGTGCAAGGTGTGCGTTTGTGTGTTATGTGTGCTGTGTGAGTTATGTGCGTGTGGCGTGCGTTGTGTGTTTGCTATGCGTGAGTGATGTGTGTTTTATGTGTTAGGCGTGTTATTTGTGTTGGGTGCTGGTTGTGCTAGGTGTGTTGTGTGTGTGTTGTTTATGTTAGGTGTGTTATGTGTCCTGTGTGTGTCGTGTGTGCGTGCGTGTGTGCCCTCTGTGTGTGTGTGTTCAGTGTGGTGCGTTTGTGGTGTTATGTGAGTGTGTGATGTGTGTGTGTGTGATGTGTTTTGTGTGGTGTGTGTGTGTGTGTGTGTGTCGTACTGTGCGTATTGTGTGTATATATATACATATTCTCATACGCACCTCTCCGAGGGAGTAGAGCTCAGAGGCGATTAATGCGTCCGTCGTTCGCGATTGTTCTGGCCGTTTCGCTCGGGACATCCTCGAAATTCTGAAAATCGGTGGCACCCCTCACGCAGATCGTGACGTCAGGGTCCAAAAACACATAGGATTTCCAACATTTTATCATAAAACCTTCAAAAACACATGGTAATTTCAATGATTTTGACTCCGATTCTCAGAGAATGGCGGTTTCGCCTGAGACATCCTCCCAAAATCGAGCCCCAGACCCCTCCTCGGAGCCTCCTGGGGGCCTCCTGGAACCTCCTGGGGCCTCCTGGGGCTTTCTGGACCTTCTGGTACCCCAGACCCCGCCTCGGAGCCTCCTGGAGTTCTCCTGGGCCTGCTGAGGCCGCCTGGGGCCTCCTGGGGCCTCCTGGGGCTTCAGAACTACATGCACACACAGAGACACAAATCACGCCCAACACATCACACGCTAGACAAACATAACATACACACACACAACACCGACAACACGCAAAAAGCACGCACCACACAAAGCACACATCACACACACACACACACACACACTCACAATCCTGGGGCCTCCTGGAGCCTCTCCTGGTATCCAAGTCGGGCCTCCTGAGGCTTCCTGGGGGGCCCTGGTACACACATCGCAAGGTGTGGCAACCCCACTTGCGCTCGAGTGCGACTTCGCTGTTGCATGTCACTCCTGCTTCAAACGCCCCTTCAGCTTGTTGTATGAGCCTGGGCACACACGTGCCACTTGTATATAGATCGCTCTCTCTCTCTCTCTCTCACTCTCTCTCTCTGTCTCTCTCCATGTTGGAAGTCGTGGCTCGATGTTGGCAGTATGTCTCAGGCGAAAGTGCATTAATGTAAGAACCGTGTTGAAAGGGAGCTCGGTGTTGGGAGGATGTCTGAGACGAAGCTGCAAGTTTCGAAACATCGGGCACAAATCGGTTGGAACCCATTTTGTGTGTTGAAGGCTTCAGGTGGAACTCTTGAAAGTCCTGTGTGTCGTTTGATCCTTGCGTCGCGACCTGCGTAAGGGGGTTCCACCAATGCTCAGAAGCTTGAGGATAGTCCGAGCGAAGCGGCCAGAAACATGCCACGGGACTGTCACTACTCGCCCCTGAACTCGTATTCCCTCGGAGAGGCGCGTGCGAGAAATAGGCATGCAGACATCGCCTTATTGAGCCCTCAGGGCGGGAGCCACCGCGGATCCCCAGAGGGACGCCTCTGCACACAGCCTCTGCAACCACCTGGGCGTTGGGGACATCCTTGGCATCGCTCGGACGTGTGCCCTATTCCTCCGGCGAGGACCGTCGAGGAGCATCCTTCATCATTTGGCGAAAAAGCCACGCGCAAAACCGAAAAAAAACACAGGGAATGGACGTCCGAGCGATGGCCAGCATGGCCACGGCGAGGGTCGGCACCAGTCGCTGCATTCATTGGTTCTCAGGAGGGTTCCAAAGGAGGTTTTTGGGGGAGGGGGGTTTGCAGGAGGGGTCCCCCAGGGGCTTCGCACCCCCTGCTTTGACGAGGTTCCGAGGCCCATAAGGGGGGCTCTCTGGAAAAGCCCCCTCCCCAAAACCCCCTTTTGGAACCTTCTGGGTTCTCGGGGCCAGGGTGACGCCCCACGGGGCATCGGACGGCGCAGCGCCCTCCGAGGCCGATGTTCGAGGAGGTCCCGAGCGAAGCGGTCATTCTTGAGACTCGGAGTCCCCTTTTCGGGGCCTGTGTTTTCGAGGATGTCGTTGGCGAAACTGCCATGTCGCCATGTTTGAGATCCAGGGGCCCCTTCCGAAGCCGACGTGCCCAGGATATCCCAAGCGAAATGGCAGCTTTTGAGATGCAGAGTCCTTTCGGAACCCGATGTGTCGAGGATGTCCAGAGCGAAACGGCCACCTGGGGCCATCCAGACACTTTGGACGCGAATGCTTACGCATCCCAAAAGAATCGGCCAGCGGAAGCAGCGAAGCTCCTCGTAGCATCCATCACGCATGTTTGCCTCTCCCCCGTCATCCTCCATGTCATCACCTGGTCTCGAAGGCTAACACGGCGAGGGCCCGCAAGGGGCCTGCCGAATTTACTCGCTTCGTTTTTCCGTCGGCGCAAATTGCACCACTGTTGCTATAGGTTAGGTTGGTGTGTGTCCATGGCGGGCGAAAGGAGGATCGGAAACCCGATATGGGGAAGAGGGGGAGGAGGAGGAGGAGGAGGAGGAGGAGGAGGAGGAGGAGGAGCAGGAGGCCTTTCGACAGCTTCTTGGGGAACTGTGGGGACCAATCAGGGTTGCGGACA